TGACAGTACATGGCAACATCGTTCAGTTGTCTGGGGTACTTGATCTCTTGGGAAAAACCAAAAAATCGCTCCCAGTCCATGCCAAATTATATTTTTGTTTTCCTGCCCGATCTCCCTGGTCACTTATTGCCCAAGGACTGTTGTGTGCAGACCTGGCAAGGTGAGCGCGTTGACAAAGCCCGGGCGACGCTCGTTCTTCTCAGTTGCTTCGTTTTCTTCCCTTCTCAGCCATGCGTTTAAGGCTCCCGCTCACCACCCGCCTCTGTCTGCTTTCGCTTCGACCACTGCGTGTCGCGTCCATCCTTCCCACGACCTTGGCAAAGAAACGCTTCCAACTCTGTCGAGCCTCTGGGTACTGTGGTGAAAGGACGGGGTTGGAACTGTTTGTATTTAATTTCCCTGTTTCCTCAGCGAGGGTGAGCACAGGCCACGAGGATGATGTTCCCTGGCGTCGCATGGAACTGAGTATTTCACGCTTTTTAAATGTTTTTTTTATTATTATTTATTTTTTGTTGTTGTTGTTCCCTTTTCCAGTCATCAGTATTAGGCCCAGCTGTGATGAGATGCCAGCAGGCCAGAAGACCATCCCCATGGGGTCGCGTGGTCTGTCCCCTGTGCTCTTGGAGTAACATCATCAAACACCAAATGTTAGTTCTGTACCAGTAGCTCCAGCATGTCCTTCGGTGTGTCAGTGGTCAAATTGTGACAGTCGGACCGTGACGATTCGCCACTCCTCTGCTGTGTTTCCCTCCCCTCCCAATACACAAACTATGAAAACTTATTAACGGAATGGCCTTAGCAAGAATATAATGTTTTGTGTGAATCTGTACATTAATAAAGTGAAAATCAGGAAGGTCGCTAGCAGTGTGTGTCTTTTTCCCAGGAAACACAGGGTCTGACCGTCAACCTTTCACATTTTTTAGGGCATCATTTCCTAACACCTAGCTCAAGGTAAGCTCCAGGAGCCCTGGGATCGCTCCTGAGGAGGCACCCGACAACTTCAGCCTCGTACTAGAACCGCGCTGGTATAGAAGCAATGGGCGTGATCGTGGAGCCTTAAGCCTTCAGTATTTTAATAAGAACAGTTCATACGAGTAAACTCAACTTCCATGCATTTGCGGGAGTACAAAAGTTTCCCCAGTGACAGGTACTAACGCGTAGGCTTTAAATATGTTTAACAAACTCTTTACACTGGTCACTGGGAATATACTGAGCTTCAACAGGAATACGTATGGGGCTCGAATAAATATTTCTAATATAAGCTCTTGGAAAACTTTCTCTTTAAAAAAAAACAAAAACAAACCAACAAAAATTCCCTTTCTGTAGATTATGATTCCACAGTAAAGCACTGGACATCCCTTTAAGGTTCAAATAGCTCTCTGCCACAGTTTGGTTGTCTTTATTGCTTCGCCAAGCCCAAAGCTTTAGAGGGGGCCCTGACAAGGCTCAGTTGTGCTCACCCTTAGTCTAACGCTGTCTTTTGGAAAGCTTTTTCTCATGGCTGCAGCTGAGAAAGCTGCTGTGGAAACACTATGCTAAAACAAAAATGGAAAACCAAAACAGAGAAAGGAATGAGAAAAGCTGCAGCTTTTTACACTCCCATCCTGAGTTGGAAGTGTTAACCTAAGTACCAGCAAGCTGCAGCCAATTCAAAGCTGCTCCCAAACCCGAGAGTTGTCACAGGCTTCTCTGCCAGTGCCAATGATCTCAATGGGTCCTTCCTGTGCAGGGAAATCCCCCTAAGGACCCCAGCAGGGACGAGTGAAACAAAAATTCACAGAAATGTCAAAATAAAAGCACTCCCTGCACTGACGAGCCTGCCCGTTTTGTGCCCAGAGAATCAAAACTCCCAAAATGAAACTCCAGCTCTTCCTTGCTCCCACTCCCAAGGAGTGAGCTGGCTCACTGCTCGGATCTTTGGCAAAAGCAGAGATAAACCAATATCTCCTGAAAAGCGGTTTAGTGAAACTCCCGTCACGTTGGAATTCCCGCAAAAGGGAAAAAACGCAGCCGATTGCACTAAGCTACAAGGCTGAGAAACACAGCAGCGTCTCTCTTGATTGTACGCCTGTCACCAGAAATCAAAACTCACACCTCCTTTTACGACCTGACTGTAGGTACTTCCAACTGCAGGACAGCTAGAGCAAACGAGCTCAGCTACACCCTTTAATTCATAAGGAATAAACTTCCCCAGAGTTCTGCCTTCTCCGCTGCCCTCCCCCAGCACGGCGTTAACTCCATCATGAGCCAGAGCAGCACGCAGCTGAGGCAGGGAATGCCTGGTTTTGAGGAAATTCTGGAAATCTGGCACATGTCTTTCACACTCAGCCCTGCTTCCCTGACACAGCTTCTCCCAGTTCCCTCCGCAGGTTATTGGCAAAGTCTAAAGGACTGTACAAAGCGTGCAGGTGAAACCGGATTTGTAAATAACTGAGTTATTCCATGTTCACAAGAGCGTGAAGCTGTGGCTGAACAGAGTCTGTCTGTGTCTGGAGCACCGTCAGCTCGCGCAAAGTGCTTGCGACGAGACCTTCCTGGGGACCTTGGGTCCCATCCGACTTGCAGCCCGTCCCCGCGGCAGAGCCAGTGTCATGCAGCATGGTCACGCTCCCCGGCACGGCTGCCAAGCTCTGGTAGTGGCCGTTCTCTGAGAAAGACAGCAGCTTCTCAGGGATTTTAGGCGACACGTCGTAGTCTTCGTCGGGAAGCTCCATTTTGTGACCCTCGTCGCTCTTGGAGGCTCCTTCAACGATGACGAGGAAGGACTTCCAGGGCGTGTTTTTATCATGGATCTGAAAAAATAACAAGAAAACAGAAGCTGATACCTTGATAGGAAGGCTCGAGGGCTCTGAGGCGGCGGGGACACCGGGTGCTTACTGAAGTGTGTCGCCGGAGGGTGGACTTGTCAGTGAACGTGCGGCCGCAGGCATTGCACATGAAGGGCTTCTCCCCGGTGTGGATCCGGTGGTGACGCTGCAGGGCGTTAAGCTGCGTGAACTGCTTCCCGCACTGGTCACAGCAATAGGGGCGCTCCCCTGAAAGAGGGAAACCTCACGTAAGGTTGGGTTATGAAATGAGAAAGCATCTTCCAAAAAAACCCCCAAAGCCACAACCCTCCCCCCCCAAAAAAAAACAAAAAACCCCTGATGCATTTTCAGATTGGTTTTGAAACGTCTGAAACAAGCAGGTACTCGACGCTGTCAAGGCTTAGAGCCAAAGGCTGCATAAATCTGTGCAGCCACCGAGATCTCCACATTTTTTTTTACACAGGTTATCCATTAGCAACTGGAGAGTGAGATGAGGAAACTTAAAGAAGAGAAAATTCAAGTGGAAAAGAACACAAATGTGAAAAGTGGGCAAGCAGACATGAAGGAGACGGGGTCTCTGCAAGGCTTTGCTCAGAGCTGAACCACACACGTCACTAAAAATCCTCCCGTTAATGTTACGTATCCTACATAACACCCTACTAATATTAAAAATAATACCCTAATTCATATTAACAGCATCTGTGTAGCTCTTGGAAGCCTTTCAAAGTAGGCCAGGAGCAGCAGGAGAAGGGATTAAAGAGCACGTGTGCAAGGACAGGAATTAAAACAACAAGAAATCTCAGCTGAGAAACCCCTTGTGTGAATCAAGAAACCGTGAGGTTATGTCTCTCAAATGGCAGCAGCTTTTCTCAAACAACCCACCTACCTGTGTGAACTTTTATGTGCTGGTAAAGTGAGTTCCTCTGCGCAAAGGTTCTGAAGCAAACCTCGCATTTGAAGGGTTTGGAGCCGGTGTGGATCCTGTTGTGGTGTTTCAAGTACTCCTTGGAGGCAAAGCTCTTCCCGCATGTCTCGCACATGAAAGGCCTTTCCCCTGCAGCAAGGGCGGAAGAAGAGGAGAATTAAAACGCCACGCGCGAAAAATGGAGTGGTATTAGATACAAACGGACCTCGGGAAACCGCTTTTCTCTTCAGAATTCAGCTAGACCGTTTACTGATGGCAGAATCTTTGGATAATGGACACTATCCAAAGTAGATGACTGCAGCCAGGTGGGAACTCCTTTTCTCTTTGATCTGCTCCTTTTGCTCTCTGCCTACCTGCCTGGAAGAACTTTCCTCAGTAAAATTATGCCTGGGGATGAACATACCTGATTTTTTTTTTTCTTTACCTAAACAACAACAACAAAAGCATTTTCTGAATGAAAACAAGATCGCCCGGTTTCGCGGCCTCTTCCTGCACACGGAACGTTCTCGAAGCGAGCCCTTACCTGTGTGACACCGTTTGTGATAGATAAGCATGTGATTCTGAGTGAACCTGGCCCCACACTCATCACAGACAAAAGGTTTTTCACCAGTGTGGATTCTGAAATGAGAAAGCAACATTCAAGGTGTCTCCCCCTTCCTCTTAGAGTTTCAAATTCAGAGGCCGTGCACACTTCGGGACTCTGAATGGGCCAATGTGGGCCAGTTTTCATGGCAGCGCACGACATGGGGAAGAGCAGGGATGTGAAAAAAAGAGATAGAAAAAGATGAGAAATTCTCACCGCAGCCTGTCACGATAAGCAAGTTAAGGACAGCACCGAGTTGCCAGCGCTCGTGGAGCTTACTGAATACTCCCAGCAGTACACAGCGGAGGAGAAACTCACGCTTACGCCCCAAAAAATAATTTTTTTTTAAAGCAGCACAAAGCGGTTAGGAAAGGCATGCCCCCCCCGGACTACGCTGACGCTACTACAATCTCTTTTTTTTGCGTCTGTGTAGCAGCACTTTGAGGTATTCCTTCTAAAGCTCCCCCCTCCACCCTTGCTCCCCAGCTAGAATTTTTGCCTCGCTAAGAACTCCTCTCCCATGGGAGACCATGATTCTCGTCATGTATTGGTCATTTTCTACACTTGGTACCCAAAGGCAACTTTTTCAAATTAATACAAACGAATACAAACCCTTTTATAACATTTTCAGGCTTATAGACGTGTTCTACTGAATATGAAGAGGCTTTGAGTCAGGTGAGCTAATTAACCTTAATCCTACAAATAATTCAGCGAGGGTGTGGGCTTTCCTCACATGAAACGTCCCACCGACCCTTTAAATGTCTGTTCCCATGAGAAAAGTCAACTGTGCCCTTGACCCAGGTCCCTCTTAAAGCAAATCGCAGCAACTCCCTTAACCTGAAACACAGCGGGGGAATAGGGGGAAAAGAAAAGCAAAGATCTCAAAAACAACAGCAAAACAGGAAACGCGGACACTTGGTGTTCAGTCCCGTTTACATCCCCGCTTCACCTGAAGGCTCCAGGTGCGTTTCCAGGGGATTCTGCTTCTCCCCCCAGAACCTACCACGGCCAGTTAAGTGCGTTCATACCTCATGTGTGTCTTAAGTGCAGAAGGCTGAGAAAATTTAGCCTCACACTCTGTGCACCCATAAGGCTTGTCGCCTGTATGCGTCCTTTCATGAAGCCTCAAGGCAGTTTTGGAGCTCAACCCCTTTCCACACTGCTGGCACTGATGACGCTCCCCACCACCCTCATGAACCTGGAGAATGTGCCTCTTGACGTCCTTCTTCCTCTTGAACTTCTTACCGCAGAGCTCACAAGGGAAGTGGCGCTCGCTGCTGTGGACGTGGCGCTGGTGGCTTTTGAGGTTGCACCGGTTGGCGAAGGTCTGGCTGCAGGTTTCGCACCGGTAAACGATTTCGGCTGCGATGCCATGGTTGTGCTTGATGTGCTTGAGAAAGCTTTTCTCGTAGAGGAATTCCTTCTCGCACGTGCTGCACTTGAAGTTGGTGCCCCGTTTCTTTTTGTCGTCTTCGGGTTTCTTCAGGTTTTCTTCTGACTCTGCATTGCCGTCGCACCCCTCGCTTTCCGGTTTGACGTCGTTCTCCGCTTGCTCTTCCTCCTCCTCCCTCTCTGTATCACACATATCCTGGTCTTGAGGATACTCGCCTCCTTCAATGGCAACCTCTGCGTTCTTCTGCTGCTCCCGCAGCCTCCTCGTGTACTTCTTCTTTGGGATTTCCACAAATACCTTCCTCCCAGCCAGTCTCCCGCTTGCCCTCCTGATTTTGGCATAAGGGGTCTTCGCCGTTTCCCTCTTTTTGTCTGCTTTCTCTTTGGATTTGGCAGCTGGCATCTCTAGTGAGGCTCCGCTGTCCACTGGGGAATCTGAAGGATCCAGAGGACAGTCTGCCTGCTCAGCTTCCGCTGCAGTAGAAGCTCTGGATTCCAGCAAAATGCTTGGCTGGGCGGCGCTCTCCTCCTCAGAGTTCTGCACTTCCGAGAAGCTTTGCAACTCCAGCAGTACCGACTCAAGCATCTGCTTCTTTAATTGAAAGCAGGTCTCTGAGAGGTCCAAGCACTTCAGCTTTTCCGCTATTTCCAGCATACGCTGCACTCTGTCTTCTTCCACTTCCACCCTAGCGGTGTAGACGAACTCGAGGAATGAAGCAAAATCAGCAACCTGGACCTCATTGAGCAACACGTTGGTCCTGGGGCCATCCACGCCCTTCTCATTGAGGAACACCTCCTTGAAAAACTTGCTCGTCGCTGCTAACACAGCCTTGTGTGCCACGAACTCTGCCCGGACGCCTTGGTACTCCACGCTGACCGTCACATCGCAGAGGTGGCCCAGCAGACGCAGCTGGTGCATCTCATTGAGGAGGTTGATCGGAGAGGATTTGGATTCCAGCAGAACCGCATTGCTTTCCATCTTTCTTCTCTCTAAGAAAAACTGAGAATAATACATCGCGTTATTTGCACAGAAGCCGACAAAGCTCGCAAGGTTTCAGCAGCCAAAAGTCATGGCCAGGCTTTTGAGGGCGCTTCCACTTCAGATTTAAGCACTTAAGGTGCTTGAGCTTGAGAGCCTGGACTTTCAAAGGAGCATTGTGAAAAACCTGGCTAGAAGGGCAGATTTCAAAAACTGTCGCCTTAAGCGGTTGTATTTAAAACCACCGAGATCTCTCAGAAGTCAATTTGAGTTTAAAGCTCAACCATAATTTTACCTGACAAAGTAAACAGAGGAGGATCAAAGGAATGCTCTCGTTAAGGCATGTAGAATTAAGAATTATTCTCTCTCCTAATCAGGCAGTAAGAGAAAGGCAAGATTAAGTAAAAGTTAACTGCGGTCCTAAACAAACACTTTCCTACACAGACTTAAACGAGACCAAGGTAAAATTCCTGCAATCATATTCTCAAACTGTAAACCTAAGAAATCATAAAACTATCTCAAAGCATTTTATTTTTTTAAAGAGTTTCATCACTGAGGATAGACTTGCAGCCTCTAAAATGGACATTTCGCATCCTTGATCCTACACAAGGTAAAAAGCCACAGGAACCCCTTTGAATCTTCAGCTCAATAAACTTTTAATGTTATGACACAAATAGCTGCATTCTAATAAACGCTTTAAAAAACTGCCGTTATTGAGTCACATTTGTTACCCCTGAACAGAATGGCCCAGGGAGGGGACAGAGAATCCCAGCTCAGAGCCCAACAAGCATCTCAAAACATTTTCCACTTTTGGAAGCTGACTCTGACGTTACATTTGCCTTTTGATAGAAATTTTACACAAAGGAGAATGACACCATTTGACTCCTGGCTCTCATAAATAAGCACAATAGACAACATTCAAACTTTGCTTCCCTTTTTCCATAACCTCTCCAAGATATTTTTCCTCCTGGTTACGTGATACACTTCCACTTCAAGTATTCTGAGGATGAATTAAGCAAAGACTCAATGCTTTATCCAAAATAATGATATCAAAACATAGCTTTTGTTTTCCCCCAGTATGACTATTTTCAAAGTACTTATGTTACTCCACAGCTATCCATCTATCTTCCACATCAAAAGCTGTGGGGGCACGTAGACAACAGCGATCCTCAGCACGGAAGAACTCAAACCACAAACTTCCCCCCCCGTGAAGGAGCTCATAACCGACATGTTAATGGACATGTCGCGACAGTTCCTTTATTTTTTTCCTTATGGTTGCAAAATGGAAACCTGCTTTTTCCTCAAAGCTGCTGTGAAAACATATCCCTCACTCTCATCGCTAGCCTTCCGCCGGTTCGGTTTGCTCTGAGGACCAGCAGCAACCCAACGCCTACGGTGAGGTACTCCCGTGGCAAGTCCGACCGAGCACCGGCCTGGCACAACACCTTCAACGCAAGCACAGCTATATTCGCCTTAAAAAAAAAAATAAAAAA